TCTTCTCTCAGGATTTTGGGCATGCACGCACATGTGCCTGGCATGTTTTCAAGCTGCTGGGTCCAGGACTTGAACCACGTAATTGGCCATGTGGGATCCAACCACCTCAACCACTGACTGACCCTCAAATGCTTCTTATTTTTTGCTGATGGCAAGGATTCTCTCCCTCCAGGCCAGATGTGAAGGCTTGGGTCTAAAACTGTTGTCAGGGGACCAGCAGTTGGCGTAATGGCTATGTTGCTGGACTCCCACGTAGTTGACCATGGTTTGAGTCCCAGATCCGGTGACTTAAACTCACGCCAGGTGTGTGTGCATGTGTGCCCAAGATCCCGAGAGGAGAATGGAGGAGAAGGGATTGCAGCTTGGCCATCACCCCAGGGGGTGATTTCTCGCTTTCTCTCTGTCTCACTTGGCATTTCTGGCAAGCACACATGCCCTGTAGCAAAAAACTTCTCCAAAAAAATAATAAAAAAAGAAATGTATTGTCAGAGCCTGGCCTGGAGAGAATCATTTCCTTTTTTAAAATGTATTCCTCAGGCTGGTGCCGTGGTACAGCAGTAATGAACTGCTCAAAGAGGAGCCACATTTCACATGGCAGTTGGAGTTTGAATCCCTGGTCTCTGCTCGGCCTGAAAGATGCCAAGGCATGTATTCAGGTGCCCAAGATCTGATGAGTTGGAAGGCTGGAAAAAGTGGATTGCAATAAGACCAGACCCTGTGAAGAGTACATGTCTCTCTCTCCTTTTCTCTCTCTTTCTCTCTCTCACATGTACACACATGCACTTTATCATGAATAAAGGGGAAAAATGTTTTAAATGTGTTTTTCAGTGTTGCACTGTTTCCACTAGACACCCTGACCTCTGCCTTCAAGAGTCCCCTTTGAGAAGGTTGGGGGGCAAGTTCTCAACTGCACCTTTAATGTTCCTGCAGTCATTCTGGCCAAAGGCAGGGTGCTCGGTAATGTTTCAGCAGATGTTTTGAGAACTTTATCTTTTCGTAAACAGGGAGTATGTGGACAAACCGCTTTGTGACTTCACATTATGATTTCTTTTACCAGGTCATGGGAAGTTGCTGTTTAAAGATGGAAGTTATTACGAAGGGGACTTTGTGGATGGAGAGATCACTGGAGAAGGGTGCCGGCACTGGGCCTGCTCAGGTTAGCTCTGGAGATGAGTTCTCAGAAGCCGTCTTAGGAGAGAGTTGGCGCTCACATCTGGGCACAGGAGGCATTGTGTGTGCACAAAGAGCCTCTGGCTCCCCTAATGTGTCTTGTAATAGCAGCACGCCAGGCCGGTGCAGGGCAACTGCAGGACCCCACAGCATGGATGGCCTTCATGCCTGTGAGGGACCTGGGCCCGAGAGGGGTGCTGTGACTCCCAGGCCTGCTACCCGAGGCTGTCTCCAGGAATCTCAGAGCCCCACAGGCAGGAGGGGTGGTTGGCCCTGCTTCAGTAATTTTTAAGTTTTGCTTGAGTAGTTTTTAAGGAGCCCAGGGAGAAGGGGCCTGTGCCTTTGGGATATAGATGCCTGCAGGGACCATCGGCCTGGGATAGTCTATAGGCACAGTGCTGGGGGGAGGGCCAGACCCTCCTCACCCTGTGCTTCCCTAACCAGACTAAGAGACACTGCCATCCCCCTCTGAGGTGGTGCCTGAGGTCACAGTCTATCAGGATAGAAGGGAACCAGTTGACATTGCACTGGGGATGCAGGAAATAGCTCAGACCCTGAAGCCCTCGGTCCCCTTATCTCTAGGGAACACCTATTCTGGACAGTTCGTCTTGGGTGAGCCTCACGGGCACGGCGTCATGAGGTACAAGACTGGTGGATGTTACGAAGGGGAGCTCTCCCGTGGTGCAAGAGAAGGTCTGTTGTCCAGGGACTCATGCTACCATGTGTGGGCATTGCATGGGGCAGGGTGCCCAGGGGTGTGCACGGAATCTGCTGTACGTGCAGGTTTGGCCTGTCCAATGAGGTTGGGAAGAGGGTCAGGGGCTCAGGCCCTGTTCTCTCCATCCCCAGACCCCATTCAGTGTGTCAGACCCCAGACTTCCCTCTGAGATGCATGTCGCACCTCAGTTATCCAGTGCTATATAACAGACCACCCACAACTCCATGGTTAAAACAGTTACCATTTTACTATTTGCTTGTGATCCTGGGGTCAGCCATTTGGCCTAGACACAGTTGGACAGGTCTTCTAGCCTCTTGTGGGGTCACTCATTCAGTTGCAGTCGCTGCTTGGCCAGGCCACATGTTCCCTGAAGTTCCCAGAGGCCTAAGAAGCCAGATTCCTCACCAGGTATTCTCAGGACTCCCAGAAGGGGAGAAGCTGCAGGTCCCTTCGAGGCCTCCCCTCCGGCCTCCATCAGCTACAGGCAGTGAGGAGGCTAAATTCACTGGGAGATGTAGACTCCTCCTACACCAAGAGGGGAGGAGCCTACAGCCCAGTTCCCCAGCCCTAGCCAGGCCCAGCCAAAGACTAACTGCACCCAGAACAAGTCAAGCAGGTTACAGTACTTTTGATTATAAATGCAACTTCCTTTTTCCAACCTCTGCATAATGTTAACAAGTAGGAGTACCCTTGTGCTTCTGAACTGTCCAAAATCTGAAAAACAGCTAACAACAAAGCCATGTTCTCACTAGTTCTTCCTCTAGCATTTTAGATCATCGTGCTTTCAGTAAATAACCCAGGTCAAGCATGGCTCTTTTAGCTGGGAAGTAGTAGATTCTTAGAAGCCTAAAAGCAAACAAACATGCAAACAGAGTTTAATTGTACCACCCCTGCCAGACTTCAGTCTCAAATGTCAGGTCTTGAGGGACCTCCTTCAGGGCCCAGCACCCCAACTCAAATTTGAGAGCCAGACCCAAAGACACTCCCACTGGCCCTGTGGGCTAACCTAACCTGAAAGGTGGCAGCCAGTGCTGTCTCAAATCACGTTTCTTTTTAGAGGTTTTTGCCTTAAGGTGTGTGTACTCACCAGAGAGACAAAGACAGAGACAGTGAGAGGAAAAGGGAGAAGTCACCCCCGAGAGGGGCTGGCCATACCTCAATCCCTTCTCCTCCATTCTCTTCCCAGCATCTTGGGTACGCATACACATGTGCCCAGCATGAGTTTCAAGCCACCAGGTCTGGAACTCAGACTATAGTCAGCCATGGGAGTCCAGTGACGTAACTGCTACCCCGTCTGCTAGCCCCAGTCCCAAATCACATTTGCTGTTACCATCCCAGGACACCCAGGGCCTCCATGCAACCTGGCCTAGAAGGGCAGTCTGGTTCCTAGAGGGTGACAGTGAGCTCCAGCCTCACCACCTTCCTCTTGCCAGTCCCTTCCTCCAGGGAGGTGAGGGCCTTGGGCTGGGGGCAAAGTTGCTTCTGCGAGCAAAGTCCCTTCTTAAGGGTAGGAGGAACTGGGAGCAGGGCCCATCCCTGGCAGGAAGTGAAGTCTTTTTCTTTCGGCCCCTTCGCTAGGACATGGATTTCTGGTGGATAAGGATGGACAGGTGTACCAAGGCTCATTCCATGACAACAAAAGGCACGGCCACGGAGAGATGCTCTTTAAGTGAGTATGAGTCTTGGGGGTGTCGGCCAGACATACCTGGGGACACCCAGAGCAGGTTACTCCCATGAGGCTCCTGAGCAGAGCTAGCCTATGGGGTTGTGGGCAAGAGTTACTATGGAACGAACACCTCTTGGCCGGTCAACTCTCCACCCTCTAAGGCTCAGCATTTAAGTACATTCAATGTTTTGGTTCTTAGTCTCTCGTTTCCCCCTTATTTAATGTGTGGTTAATAGAAAAACATCCGTCCTCCTCACCCATGAAATATCTGCTAGGAAGGTAGGGGTGAGAGGGGGTGGAGCCACCTGGGCTGCTCAGGTTTGAACAAGGGCTAGAGGGCCGGCCAGCCACGCCTCTCTCCTCGGAAGCCGGTGTTTAAATTCCTGAGATACATTCTCTCTCTCTCTCTCTCTCTCTCTCTCTCTCTTTTTTCCTTTATGAGAGGGAGAAACAGAGACAGGTCATTTTGACAGTACCTCATACTGTGATCCTCCTGCCCAGCCACCCCAGCCCAGCATGTTGCGATTGGCCTGGGACTGGAACCCAAGCCTCCTATGTGGCCTCCAGCCTCCCAGGTGTGGCACTACCTGTGCCCTGCTGCAGCTGGGCCTGACGGCGGATTCGTGCACGCAGCACCCGCCATTGAGACGTGCACATATGCTTCTCTCATTCTGGCTATTTTATTATTTCCTGTTTTGATTAGCAGGAGCTTAGCATGTGCTGAGCAGGACCCAGCATGCACTGGGAAGCAGGTCCTGCCATCAAGGGTGGGGGCGGGCAGACATGTCTCCACCACCACCAGAACTGGCCGCCTATACCAGCCCCTCCTAGCCTGGCCCTGGCAAGGCAGGAGCTCATGGGGCCATCTGTTCAGGGCCTATTTTTGCCTCAGTCCTGGGTAGAACGTGCTGAGCCCGGTCGGAGAAGCGGGTCTGAGTCACCAGTGCCACCTGCTTTACCCGGCTAACAGCGGCCTCTGTTCCTTGTGTCCCACAGGAACGGTGACAAGTACGAAGGTGACTGGGTTCGGGACCAGCGTCAGGGACACGGGGTGTTGTACTACGCTGACGGCTCCACCTACGAGGTATCCAGAAAGGCACTCGCCCCCACTCTCGCCTGTAGAGAGAGGGCATGGGCCTTTTGGTGAGTCTGGGGCTCATTGAGTGTTCGAATGAGCTTTGCCCAGGCAGCGCCAGATTGAAAATGCAGCCTCTCCTTACACAGCTCCTCTGCTTCCCTGAACCACTGTGTGTTGGAGGCCGGGATAAGTTTCTCTCTCCCCTTCATGGGGCTCAATTGGGCAGACCTCTGTAACAAAAGGCAGGTTGACAGGTGGAAAACACCCCAAAGTTTATTAACACTTGTACCACATGAATACATGGAGGCCGCCCAGAGAAGTGAGTGAACAGAGGTGGCATTAGTCTCTGGTTTAAGTGCGTCTCCAACGAGCCAAAGAAAGAAGGATGAGGCGCAGTAAGGGAGAGGTGCCCAGGAAGAACTTGTCCACAAGGGTAAGGTTTGTGATGCAGGCTTGAGTCTGCCTTCTCCACTGGTAAGCTTCTGGTGATTTAGAATACAGAGAGGAGACACCTCACAAGTAGAGATTTCCTCCATAGATGTAAATTTCCCTTACCAGAGAGGAACTTCTTTGATTTCAGAGCTTTTCTGTGTCTACAGTTTCTCAGAATTATCAGTTCCAAATCATTCTTATGCCAAAGAGACATATTTTGGGGTAGTCTATTCTAGTTTCCTACAGACCTTTGGAGGTAGGGACTATGGTTATTTCTTCCCCTTTTACTGATGAGAAAACTGAGGCTTAAAGAGAGTAGCTTAGTGCCCAGGCTGCCAGCTGGTATCTGACCTTGCCTGCCCTTGACTCCAGTTCCTCTGATTCCTGGAGCCGCTCCCAGGACACCAGCACCTCATGGAAATAAGATTCACTCCTTTGAGGCTACAGGTGCAAGCATAGCTGAATGAATCATTTTGATGAGAAATGCCCTGAGGTCAAGGTGAAGGTGCCCCCATTTTCCCTCCTCCCGAGCAAGGCTTGCCTGGCCATAGCAAAGGGTTCCCTCTCCTAGGGGCTCATGGTGGGATTTCAGGCTCTTAGAACGTAAGTGGAGGAGACAGGCACACTGGAAGGCCTTTTCAGGCCCCCACAACCCACCATTTCTGTTTATTTTACTGGACATGAGTCTGTGTGTCTGGGAGCCAAACAAGAGGTTCTACCCTTCCTGCGCCTGGTGTCGACAACAAGCATGCACACAGGCAAGTGTGCCAGGCACTTGTGGTCATCCTGTGAAGACACAGCTGGTATTCAGAGTGCCCAGGTGAGCCTGGTCAGTGGGGAAGGCCTCTTAGAAATGTCAACATCTGACTGTGGCCCAAACGATGAGGAAGCAACCAGAGGGAAGGGTGCTCCACGCAGCAGGGAGAGCGAGGGCTGGGCTCCGAGGTGCGCACAGGCCAGCGTGGACGCCGCACCGTGCAAAGGTGCTGGGAGCAGGTGAGGTCAGAACCCGGCAAGCCATGCACTGCCCCAGAGCTGCAGAGGAAGTCGGAGTTGTATGAACCAGAGGAGTGACAGCCTGACCTCTGGTTTATACGAGGAGGCCATACCCTCAGCCAAGAGAAGGTGAGTCCAGGGCCTTGGGAGCCCAGCTGTACCGTGCTGTGGTTGTGCTGCTGTGGTAACATGGCCAAGCACTGCGTCGGCGAGGAGCGGTGCCCAGCAGCACTAACAGGGAGCAGTGACAAAGTCAGGTCTTTAAGCTCTCAGCTGAAGTCACAGCCAGAATCAGGCTGCCATGACAGCCTTAAAGGAATCCGTTATTTCTTACAGCCTCAGAGCTAATATTGCCGAGAAATGCAACATTTAATTGTGCAGGCTACAGAACTGCAATATCAATTGAATTCACATCTTGCCAAGACTGTCATTTTGGAACAGTGAGAGGGAAGAATGGACTCCTAGAACTAGAAAGAGTCCAGCCCCTTCCGGAGACAGCCCTTGACAGAGGGTGGGGCAGCAGTCGCTGGGGTATACCATTTTCCAGGCACCAGCGCCATCAGCAGAAGCTGCTCTGTGGAAATCTTCCTCTGGGGTGCTGAAGAAACACCCTGGAGAATGGACACCAGTGGGTTCCTCACAAGCCACTGACCCGCATGCCTTAGGAGTTAAGAATGGACACATGACACAATAGAATCTGGAAAACGACGCCCCTCCAGCACCCTCTCTTGACAAGGCCTGGCATTGCACTCTCCAGCAAAGGAGGAGTATTCACAGGGTTCAGCTCTCACTGAGGAAAGCAAATAAGGATGGTCTGGAGCTGGGACACAGTCCCTTGGCGCGGAGCTCTCACTGAGATGAGGCAGAGTGGGGTGGGAAGGTGGCGCATCATTGACCAGTGCAGTATTCCCACAACAGCTTTGGAGGTGGTCAGGTGGGACTGCAGAAAACCCAGTACACGTGTCCACCTCCCTGCTTATAAAAGAGAGTTCTGCTGGGACCAGCAGTTGGTATAATGGCTATGTCACTGGACTCCCATGTAGTCAACCGCAGTTCGAGTCCTGGACCCGGTGGTTTAAACTCACACCGGGCGTGTGTGTGTGCATGCCCAAGATATCAAGAGGAGAATAGAGGAGAAGGGATTGCGGTGTGGCCATTCCTCCCCGGGGGGTGATTTCTCGCTTTCTGTCTCTCTGTCTCTGCCTTTCTGGTGAGCGCATGCACCCTATAGCAAAAACCTCTCAAAAAAAAATAAGAGTTCTGCTGGATGGAACAACCCCCAGGACCCACTTCTGGGATAGCAAAGCCCCAATCTAGGCAGTTAGCCTTTGTCCAGTGTCCTCCCTGCTCCCACATAAATCTGCATGGACTTTGCTGCCATCCCTGCTGGCCTGGGCAGGTGTGAATGGTGGTTCGAGCCCATGTACGGATTTCACCGTGAGCAGGCAAAAGCGATCTCTTCCTTCCACAGATGTCTGCATCCTTATTGGGCCAGCCTTTGCGGCCACAGATCACTGCGTTCTTCTCCAGAGCTGTAACGGATCTTCCCTCATCAGTCCCCGCACCTAGGCCTAGAGCCCGTCCACTCCCGTGACCACGGCCACACCTTGCAGAGCTGGCATGTGTATGGCACCAGGTTTCTCATGAGCAGCCAGGGACTGCTCTAAGCCCTTCACGTGTATGACCTTAAAACCTCACAACTGCTCTACGAAGGTGCTATGTCCCGTTTTACATATGAGGAAACTGAGGCATAGAGTTGCTCTCCCTTAGCCCAGGGAGTCCGCCTCAGTCTACACCTCCATACCTCACAGTTCCCCACATTCAGGGGAGACTCAGCATAGCAGTGTCCCCAGCCAGTGACAAAAGGAGTTGTCAAGCCCACTGCCAGCCAGGGCCAGTCTCCTCAGGGCCTGGGCAGAGCTGGGAAAGAAGAGTTTTCCCCACCCAACCACAGAGGCTGTTCTGTCACATGAGTCCCCTGGCAGTCTGGGCACTGTTGGAGTCCACTTGGACCTCCCCTTCTGAAACCTGCAAATGGTGGCACAGCCTGAAGTGGATTAGGGATATGTCACACTCCTTATCCTGAGGCTGACGCCTGGCACCCAGAGCATCACCACCAGGGGGCAGCCAAGGCCTGCTAACAGCAGCCAACCAGCTGGGGCTGTGCAGGAGAGGCAGCTCCCCTGGCACCTGGAGAGAGATGCTGGGTTCCCAGCTGACAGTTGGGAACAGAGTTTGGATGAGACATGTCCCTGTGCTGCTAGCGTGACTCCGAAGCTGACCAGCCGACAGAGGAAGCATGAGGGCCAGGCCTTCCTGAAACTGGCTCTGAGAGCGCAAGGCCAGACCCTCATGGGGTGCCTTTTGAACTGGAACAGTTTTCCTCCTGGTGCTAAAGCCATGGAATCCACAGTGAGTCTTGCCAGGGGTTTACGTGGAAGCTTCTGCTCAGAGCCTTTGTGTACCCTACGTTTCATGTTGCTTGGTGACTCCTGCCATTCTGAGAGACATGGCTAAGGACCACAGACAGGCCTCAGCTCAGCCCTGTCTGCGCCCCATTGTGACCCATTCCCTGAAGCTGTGTCCATGTACCCTGTGGCCTTAGCACTGTCTGTACACCCTGCCTGCCGGAGCTGGGGCCCCAGGCAGTATGCTGGGTCGGCCATCCCCTGGCCTCTGCCTGCACCCTCGTCGCTCTGATTCAGGCATTCAGAGCCAAGTCCACTGGCAATGGCATGGAGTGACCGGAGGCCCATGTCCAGGCTCAGTTACTGAATCTCTGCTCCCTCCAGCCCCCTTAAAAACCAGCTTTGGCTTGCTGGCACAAAGCCCCTCTTCCTAGACTGGGTGTGGACTTCAAATGGAGAAGAATGCTCAAGGCCAAAAGGACAGGCCAGGGCCCACGGGACAACCTGGGACACACCACATGTCTGCAACTGCCAGACCGTGCTTCAGGGGCAGCGGGAGATTTTCACACAGCCATTTGTGCGAGAAGAAATAATTACCAAGTCTGTCACTTGGCCCCTCATTAATCAGGAGAGGCAGAGGGTCTCTCCACATGCAGATCCCACTGCCTCCTCCGACAACTGTCTTCTGCTCCTGGGTCTCAGTGCTGGCTCTCCGCGTCTCTGGCATGAAGAGTCTCAGATACAGGCAGAGGTGGCCAGAGGGAGTTAGGCTGTGCATCCCAGACCTGTCTCAAACAAGGATTCCTTATATTGTCATTAATCAAATATTCAGTCCTCTCTCTATTTTTTTTTTTTTAATTTTGCTGTAGGGTGCATGCACTCGCCAAAAGGAGACAGAGGTGAGAAATCACCCCCTGGGGGGATGGCCACACTACAATCCTTTCTCCTCTCAGGATCATTGCTCACTCATGCACATGGCCAGCGTGTTCCACAGGCTGCCAGGTTCAGGATTCAAACCGTGTAGTCAACCATGTGGGATCCAGCCACTTTAACCACCATGTCACTGGCCAGCCGTTAGCTCTCTTGTTTAAAACAATTTTTATTGTGGTAAGTGCACATAACGTGAAAGTTACCATTTTAAGCATTTCAGGAGCACAAAGTACATTCATG